TTTTTTTTTCTTTTGAATTAAATAAAAATACAAACTGAGACATATTTATTTTAAGTAATTATATAATCTTATCAAAAACAAATTTAATAATATATTTTTTATCTTATAATATTTTATTATAAAAGATAATACAATTAATTTAAAATTAACTTACTAATGTATTTCTCATTGATATCATTTTTCAAGAAAAATAATATTATCTAAATAAAAATAAAAATGAAAATTTTCTTATAGTTTTTCTTATTAATAATTTTAATTAGAATAAGAGAAATTCAGGGTGTGGGCGTGGGTGGGTGTGGGTGTGAGCGTGGGTGTGAGTGTGTGAGTGTGGGTGTAGGTGTCGGTGTGCGAGTGTGGATGTGTGGGTGTGGTTGTGTGGGTCTGTGGATGTGAGTGTGGGTGTGGGTGTTGGATATGTGGCATCTCTTACGGAGACGTGATAAGAGATATGGTATGTCTTTAAGAGATGTGGAGTCGCCTGAGGGTTTCTGATAGGAAGAAAAGTACGATTAGGATGTGAGAAATCAGTATTATATTTAAGTGTGTGGTTAATAGGACTGTCCGGAAAGCAGGAGATGCATGGTTCGATTCCATGCGAAGGGAGATTATTCTTTTGTTTCGTTCTGTAATACCATCACGTTGCTGTCCCGGTGATATCAGAGTATAATATGAGAATACGAGCATTAAAAAGAAAAGAAATAAGACATAACAGTGTCGTTAGTATATTGGAGATCTCCGTGGAGATCTCTAAGATCCCCGTTTTTTTTGGATCTGTGACACTACTCCAATTGAAAGGTGAAAAATGATTCTATATATTCTATTGATCAATAGAAAACAAATATGAGAAGGTATTGTCCATCTATATGAACACTTTCAGTTTAATCTCGAATTTCGATATAAAAGTTCTAAATGAGAGAAATTTCTTATTATTTTCTCATGTTAACCCTTTGGGGACGGGTTTTTTTTTCTGTATATTTCGTCATAAATCAATCAACGTTTCTATTTTCTAAAAGAACTTATAATCTATTACTGGATATCTGAATAAAATAACCTAATTACAATCCAAATTATACCAAAAAACTCTCTGATAAATACTTTCACAAAAACTAATCTCATATAGGAATCTGCGTGTTTTGAGATGCTAGAGAATCGCCATGGCCCCTTAAGGGGCCAACCGTCCCCAAAGGGTTAATGCATGAATATCCACATTGTGTTTTGGTGTATAGATCTAAAGTGAATAATTCGAGGAAGATATATATTCGAAAAACAAATATTGATATACTTCTAACTCTCGAACAACTATTTGTTAATAGAACGATAAGTAAATAAACATGATTAGCTAAAAGAAAAAATAATGAAATATGTTTTCGGAAATATTTCTTTTATTCTGATGTTAATTTATATAAGGTTTCGTATATTGAACAGACTATCCTATCGTAAAAACGAATAGAGACGAGAAGAGATTTTTTCAATAGATTTTTTATATTAACACAAGAAAAAGTATTGTTGATTATATAAGGTATGATTTATAGAATAACTCAATCTAGATATGTCTCAGGCTTGTCTACCTTTTTTTTCAACAATCAACCGTAAAAAGTTTAAAGAATACTAGGATGAGAAATCTAAAACTATATTATAGAATGTTAGTCTATTTTCCTTATCGAAAAATGATCCATGCATTTCTCTGTCTACATACTACAAAAGAAATGTTCACTGTATTTTTTTTCCTTGTCCTACATAAAACAAATTCTATCCTCTTTACGATGCATCTTTAGTCAGTTAAGATTTTTTATTTCCTGTAGACTTGAAAATATCTAAAGAATAATCGAATGATGAAAACGAGCTTCCCCTATCTATTATCTGACATACTAACACATTAACGTTTATCGATCAGTGAGAGATCATTTTTTTTCTTTTTATTTATTAATTATATTTTAACTTTACGTTGATGATGTGAAAATTGACTTGCTAAATTAATTGAAACAAGAAATAATCTATCAGCAGTATAATCAGTTTGTCAAAGTCGATCATATTAACGAGATTAGTTTATTGTCAATGTTCTCTACTATAGAAATTATTTGTTAAATTCTATTCTATTTGCTTTAGCTATTATTTATAATATGTTGATGAACGTTCGTTCGTTTTTTCAATAGAATTTCCTTACTGATAAAATCGATTGAATTAAAACAATCCTAGAACACTCTAGCAGTTTATCAAGTTTAAACCATTAGGTGTTGTTAATGTTAAATTTCTTGTAAAAATTGAATCGTTTACAATTGAGTCAAGTCGTTTATTAACACCTATTATAAAGTAGAGTACATCACAATTGTGTAATTTTTTTAAAAATAAATATAAGAATTTCATCACATAAATCATTGAATTGAATAAGTGTATGTTCCATATTTATCTTGACTTATGGTCTTTTCTGCTTTGCTTATAAATATATACATACTCATATCGTCTATTTGACTGATCTAGTCAATAAAAACAAAGATATATTTTTGTACAATCGAAATTGACGATAAATGAATGAATAATCGACCGAATGATATTTTTTTTCTCTCTCTCGTTTTATTCAACATTTTTAGTTTGATATGTGTCGATAAACAGTCAGAAAATATTTTTACTTTCTATAATACAGAATGCAAAACCTTTGTATTTTAAATGTCAAATAGATATTTGCAAAGATGAAAGTTGATATTATTATATCATATATTTTTTATTAATAGACAATTATGCACAAAAAAAAATATGAAGATCAATTTTCCTTTTTTTGTTTTTAATTTTATCTAATTTGATGTGGATGATGTAGCCGTCTTCGCGCTATAGCAGCGCGTATATTGTATAAAGCTTCATTTCAGAAACCAACAACTATTACCATTTTTGATTTTGGATCTAAATATGATAAAATTATATTAGTTTCTTCGAAGACTCAAAAACAAATATATCCAAATACCTTGATATGATGTTCCAGTTAAAGTAACTGTTTTATCGTTTTGTTTTTAAATGCTTCTGTAGGATCATGAGGACCATTCGAATACAGTTCTTCACGTGCAACATCGAATATTGGACGAAATGTTAATTCTGTAGGTATTTTGATTAACGTGTTTATTTCAGATTCAATTATTAATTTAACATCTTTCCAATATTATTCTTCATAAGGATTAAATTTTCTAGATTTTTGTTTTTTTGTTAATTCTAGATGAAGCTCAATATCGATTAATAAATATCGAAGTTTACGAATACTTAAACCGATAAGAAATGTCAATGGATTAAATATTTCAAAACCTGTACCGTGAAAAGTACCATGAGAATCGATATGAAGTACAAAAAGATCAATTGGTTTAATTTCACCACCACGTATAAGATTTTTTGATTTGAACATTATCTGGATCCTGTGAAGTCGAAAGTTGCTCTATCCATTTATCAGAGTAATCCATATTTTTACTTTCTAAAATTAAAATTTCGATGCATCAATCTCTGCTCAATTCTATCTCTTTTTCATACAATAGATAAAAAACTAAAACATTATAATTTCAAAAAAATGAAATTCTTCGTTTATTGGTCATATCAGTTTCCTCATCTAATCATAATCATCAGTTACATAAAGAGACAAAGGGATATGTAAAAAAAAAAACAAAAAAGAAAAAAAACGGAAAAAAATGTCAGTTGAGAAAAAAACAGTAACAAATAGAAAACAAACGGAAGCAAATGTATGGTCATTTAAAACCGAAATCTAATTAACAAAAAAGGACAACAACTATATACATAAGATTACTAGTGTTCATGCAAACCACATTATATTTCCAATAGATGGATTAAAATTAATTGTTGTTGTTTGAATGTCGTCTAAAGTAACGACAATGTTTTCATCCGACAAAGCTTCTTCAAAATCAGAACTAAAACGAAAACAAATTTCTTCTCGATAAAAACTTTCATAGAGGTGAAACTTACGTAGCAATACTTCGTTGTTCATTTGCCATTTGTCCTTCATCAACAAGATTAAGGCCATGTGAAACACAAAGTATTGCATAATGAACAGGTGGTGGAACAGATACAACGTTTTATACATCGAACATCAGTATGACATAAATAGTATCAATTGAAAAATATTCTTCATATAGATAAAAATATCCTTATGTTAATTGTTGAATGTCATCTGATGTAAAACCAATTAAATCATATAAAATTTGATAAAGTATTGACCGTGATGTACTTTGAATAGCTGCATGAGAATTAAGGTAAAAATTAGATCCATTCGGTGAAACAATATCAGTATCCATAATTGTTCCTAAAATCAATAAATATTACAAACAAAAAAA